CACGTAGCTGATTTTCCCGGCGCCTCCCGGCGCCGGATTGAGCTATGTATCGAAGAATGGGCCCCGCGGCGGGGCCGAAACCAGCTGCGTGCAGCAGATTTCGTAACCCCCCCTTTCCCAATCCCCCCTTTCGTCCGGCCCGAGATAGAACAGCAGTAGAGTCGACTCCTGCGTCCCGCTGGTCTCTATGATGTCGTTCAGCCCATCTGGCCCGCCCGACGAGGCCCGCCCGCCCGACGCGCCTCTCTTGGGGCCCGCCCGCGCGGCCCGCCCGTCGGGGCCCGCCCGCCCGCCTCCCCGCCCGCCCGCCGGAAGGCCCCGCCCTCTTCCTGCCGTCGCTCGGACGCCCCGTTCCCGTGCGATCTCCGAGTTCGTGCGCCGAAATAAGAGGATGATGTGGCTGACAGGCTTCACGATGCCTTGACGCCCTCGGCCGGAGGCCGAGAAAGTAGTAAAAGGTGTGGAAGAGACCACCCTGGAGATGGTGTGGAAGTCGAGTTCGTGCGCCCACTCTTCCACGAGATGGCCCCAGATGCTCCTCGATGGCCCCCGCCGAAAAAAAATAATGCCCACGCCCGAGCGATGGATGCCAGGCCATCCCGAGGCCCTGCTTCCCTCATCCCGCCCAGCAGGGTCCGCCCGTCCGACCCGGCCGCGAGGAGCGCCGCTCGCCCGGCCCGGCCCTCGTCCCGTGCGCCCCGCCCCGGCTGCTGGGGCCCGCTCGAGCAGCCCGCCCGCGAGGGCCCGCCTGCCCGGCGCGGTCGCAGGACTCCGCCCGCCCAGCCCGCCCGTTGCTTGCCGTCGCGCGGACGTCCACTCCCCGTGCAGTGGGCGGTTTCGCGCGTGTATCTCTCGCACGATGATCCGAGATGCTCCTCGATGGCCCCCGCCGAGAAAACAAAGCGCACCCGTCCGAGCGATGCCGAGGTGAAGGTCCGCCCGCCCGTCCCGCACCTTGGGGCCCACCCGGCCGACCAGCCCGTTAGGGTCCGCCCGCCCGACCCGATGACCTTCCCCTGTCGGGGTGTACAGTCAACCCGCAGAGTAAGGATGCGCTATAAACATGCAAGGGCCTTGGACGCCCATCTCGAAGCTTCCCGAGCGGGGCGCGGCCAACGAAAGTGTCCAAGGATGGACCCAGGAAACAAGGATGCAAAGGGTACCCTTGGGAGGGATGCCTATCCTTACTCTGCGGGTCGACTGTACTCAGGAGCCGGCATAGAAGCAAAAGAAGGAGCCCCCCCACGGGGGAGCGTTCATAAACGAAGGGGGCGGGAGCGGAGGCTTTGAACCAATAGTCCTGGCGAAAAGCCCAACCATGCGCAATTGTGAATGCCGCTTTGTGGGTAGCGCGTTCGGTGGAGCTCCAGATGGGGCCAGGGACCGTGTGAGGGGTGTGCCAAAATGGGCGTCGGGCGCATGCGGCCTGTGCCGCTGGGGTCTTCGGTGGAGCTCCCTGCGGGGCCACGAACCGTGTGAAAGGTGCAGCAAAATGGGTGGCGGTCCCCGCATGCGGACCCTGCCACAGGGGCCTTCGGTGGAGCTCCCTGTGGGGCCACGATCCTCGTGAGGAGTGTGCCAAAATGGGTGGCGGTCCCCACATGCGGACCCTGCCACTGGGGCCTTCGGTGGAGCTCCCTGTGGGGCCACGAATCGTGTGAGGGGTGTGTCAAAATGGGTGGCGGTCCCCGCATGCGGAACCTGCCGCTGGGGCCTTCGGTGGAGCTCTCTGTGCGGCCACGATCCCCGTGAAGGGTGTGCCAAAATGGGTGACGATCCCTGCATGCGGACCCTGCCGCTGTGGCCTTCGGTGGAGCTCCCTGTGGGGCCACGAACCGTGTGAGGGGTGTGCCAGAAAAGGGATGGACATGCGGAGAGGAGAGGCAAGGGATGTGAGGAGGGAGGACGCGGGAGGAGTGAGGAGGTGACGCGGGGCGCTGTATCTTGAAAACGAGGACCCAACAGATGGTTGGGACAAATGTTGTATTGCACGCGAGCCATGCAGAACGAACTCCCAAGTCTGAATCGGAATTGTGGTTGACCGCCCCAATCCAATTATGGATAATCACCCCCGTCCGGTGCCCATAGCGTTTCTTAATTTCGATTCCCCATCCGCTGTGGCGATCGTAATGTTGAAGCATGTGTATATGTACACGTGCATGTATGTAAGCATACATGCGTGTATGTATGTATGTCTGTGTGTTTGTGGGTATATATGTATGTCTGCATGTATGTATGTATGTATGTATATGCGTATGTGTGTATGTGTGTATGGGTGTATGTAAATATGCATGCATGCATGCATGCATGCATGTATGCATGCATACATGTATGTATGCATACATGTGTGTAATCATGTATGTACGTATGTATATATATGTATGTGTATGTGTATGTATGTATGTATGCATGTATGCATGCATGCATGTATGCATGTATGCATGCATGTATGTATGTATGTATGTATATGTATGTGTGTATGTATGCATGCATGCATGCATGTATGTATGTATGTATGTATGTATGTATGTATGTATATATGTATACATGTATGCATGTGTATGTATGTATGTATGCATGCGTGCATGTATGTTTTATGTGTATACGTGTATCCATGCATGTATGTATGTATGTGTGTATGTATGCATGTATGTAAGTGCGTACGTACGTACGTACGTACGTATGTGTGTATGTATGCATGTACGTACGTACGTACGTACGCACGTACGTATGTATGTATGTATGTATGTATGTATGTATGTATGTATGTATGTATGTATGTATGTATGTATGTATGTATGTGTGTATGTGTGTATGTATGTATGCATGCATGCATGCATGTATGCATGTATGTATGTATGTATGTGTGTGTATGTGTGTATGTGCGTACGTATGTACGTTTGGGGGATGCATGTATGCATGTATGTATGCATGCATGCATGCATGCATGTATGCATATATGTATGTATGCATGCATACACGCACACATATATACATATATATGTTTCGAAGGGCAGTCATCCTGCTCAAACTGTGCCCCTGTGCCTTCAACAACAACAACACCGTTCCGAAGAATCGCGCTCTTGCCTGGGAATTCCTCGAACAACGTGGTTCGCGCTCGCGCCGCAAAAGAACCGCGCTTCGGCTTCGGACTTTCGCATAACTGATTGGATAGCCGCGCCGCTTTTCCAACCGCTCTACTCGAAACTCGTGCATGAATGTCCCGCCCGCCCCGCCCGTCAGTTCTCCCCCTCGTCCCCCCTCGCCTCCCCCCCTCCACACTTACACATTGCGAGTACTGCTCTCCTCTCTCCGCTGTGTCCGTCCAGAAGACAGTCAGCCCTCTTCGCGTCCTGCTTCTCACGCAACAGATTTCAATACTCAATGTTTCGGACCGTTGTTGCAATCCGATTGTTTTCGGTGTTTCAAAGCGGTGCCCTCGCTCCAACGTGGGCCATCTCTTCGGATCGGCACCCCGTCGTTCAGAATGGCGGTCTCGCACCAGCGCGGGCCACTTTTCTGAATCCGAATCCTTTTTCCTCGTTGTCGCCCCCCTCATTTCCCCCCATCTGCCTTCCCCTGGTCCTCCTGCTCCTCCCGCTCCGTCCACTCCAGGTCCTGCTGCTGTTGCTCGTCCTCGTCCTCCTCTTTCCTCCTCCTCCACCTCCTCCTCACATGTACGCAATTTCTATGATGTGTATTTCGATAGTTTTTTTGAGTTCCAGGTCCGCAATGAGACACGTTGGCGGCTAGCGCAGTGGGAATGGATGGGTGGGATGAGGTCGGATGTCAGATATGGCGCGAGCGCACCTAGCTTACCCCTTGCCCCTCTACCCCCCTTCCCTCTCTCCCCCTCCTCCCCCCCTGCCCTCCCCACCTCTCCCCCCCTTCCCCCACCCCTCGACATTTACACAATCTGAATACTACGCTCCTCTCTCCCCTGAAGACGTCCGGAAGATATCCTGGCCGCTTCCGCGTAATGTTTTCACGCGCAAGAATCCTGGGAGTTGGGTTGTCGCGGGTTTTGTTTCAACATGTTGCTCCCGCTGAAGCGCTGCCCTACAGTTGGGCCGTCGTTGCTTTCAGCAAGTATCAAGCGGGAGCCCCGTCTCTGCTTTGAGAAGGCGATGTTGAACGCAGAGCCAGCGGGTGCTCTCCAGCAGCCCCGCCTTGTATGGAGCTTTCCGGGAAGCCGAAGGAACTAGACATGGAGCCACGACTCCAAACCGGCCCAGACCTCTCGAAGTCGATCCACTTACCCTCCAAAGAACCTGGCGTCATGCCATGACATGCTGTGCGGTATTGAGTTCTGCGCCGCTGTGCGATGCCATGCCTTGCGTTGCAATGCTCTGCGATGCAATGCTTCACTGCGCAATGCCACGCCATGCTATGGCATGTTGCGCTCTGCCGTGCTCTTCTACGCCATGCCATGCCGTGCTCTACCATGCATCGCGTACCCTCTAGCGATCATTGCCCTGCTCGACATCCGACTGTGCGAATAGAGAATATACTTACGCAATGGTAAGGGATGGGAGGGAGGGGTCGGATGCCAGATATGACGCGAACGCACCTGGCTTGCCTCTCCCCCTCCTTCTCTCCCCCTCCCCCCCTCCCCCACCCCTTCCCCTTCCTCTTCCCCTCCCCACCCCCCTCCCTTCCCCACTCCTCCCGCACCCCCCTCCCTCCCCCCCTCCCCCGTCTCCCCCCATCGGCCTCCACCTCTCTCCTCCCTTTCTCCCACTCCTTCCTCATCCCTTCTCCCCTCCTTCTTTTCCTCCTGCTCCACTCCCCTCCCCTTCCTTTCGCTCCCCTCCTCGTTCTCTACTCTGCTGCTGCTGCTGCTGCTGCTGCTGCTGCTGCTGCTGCTGCTGCTGCTGCTGCTCGTGCTGCTGCTGCTGCTCTTCCTCCTCCTCCTCCTCCTCCTCTTCCTCCTCCTCCTCCTCCTCCTCTTCCTGCCCCCTTGTGCCACCGCCTCTCGCGCGCGCAGCTGAGCCTCGGACGCACGACCATGAAGAGCAGCAGCGGCATCCACCTCACGGGCGCCGACCGCTTCTGCGCCTGGGGTGTGTGATGGGGGGGGCCGCGGATGCAGATGCAGAGGAGCTCGGGAGGGAGGGGGGGAAGGACGAGGGAGGGGGGGGAAGCGGGGGCAGGGAAGGGAAAAAGGACGAGGCAGGGGGGGCAGGAGGGGGAGGGGCGATGATGCGACGCGCGGCTCCGCCCGGTTGCGTGCCCGAGCAGCGTGGCTAGCCGGTGGGTGGCGCATGGGACCTCGCGAAGATCCGCCACTTACGCCACCGCCGGCTCAGCCCCCAAAGGAGCAAACGTCGGGACCCCGTGCCCCCGACGGGATCCCCAAAGACTGCGCCTCGGAGCGTGCCTCCAGAGCGCCCGTAGGGGCTCTGCGCGCGTGCTCCTGCCTGGCGCGCTCCGCGCGCCGTGCCCGGGCAGCAGCAGCACGGTCGGTCTCGACGCGGGCGCGCCGGGCCTCGCTCAAGACGGGGGGGGGAGGAGAAGGGACGACGAACGACGTCAACGACGACGGAGGAACAGGAAGGGGGGACGGAGGTGGAGGGTCAAAATGACCAGTGCCTAAGTAGGGCAGCCGCCTCAGCCTCGGCAGCGTCGTCCGTAGCTACAGCCTGGGACGCCATGTGCCGCTGCTCGTCTTCTGCTTCGACCTCGGATTCCTTCTCCTTAGTCTGTATAGTAGTACACTCTAGCTGAAACCTGTGACGCTCAGGATCAGCTCTGCGCTTGCCCCGTCTGGGGCGCGCTCCGTAATCAGACGGAATGTGAAATCTGCTGTTCTCCTCATTGGACCACGGAACATACAAATCCATCAAGGCCTGACGCACGGCTGGCAGTTCCGAGGCGAAACCAAGGACAGCGACGACCGACGCCACAAACAGGAGGGGGAGGGGAAGGAGGAGGGAGGGGGGGAAGGGAGGGATGGGGAGGGAGAGGAGGAAAGGACGAGGGAGGGGGGGGGGGCAGGAGGGCGGAGGAAGCGGGAGCAGGGAGGAGGAGGGAGAGGGAGGAGGGGCGAGGACGAGAGGGGACGACAGCGGAGCAGGGAGGAGCAGGCAGGAGCAGCCCCCCCCCTGGGCTCGCCCCCCTCGGAAAGGGTGGCTGCCACAAGGTGCCCCTGGCCCAAGCTGTCCCCCAGCTTGTCGCTCCCTTTTGGAGCCCCTGGGGCCGTCTGGGCCTCGTGAGGGGTGCTCCTTGGGGCCGCGGGGGCTTCCTTGGAGATCCTTGGGCCACCTCGGGCCAGGGGCCCTCCTGGCAACACCCGACTCGGGCCCAGAGATCGCTGCGATGCCCGAGCCAGGGGATGTCACTGCGCTGAGACGTGGAAGCATCTGGGAATCTGAAGTGGCCAAGTACTGGTTCCGGCCGGCGGGAAGGACGGGCAAGGTCGAGGATCTGGGTTCGGGCAGATTCTTCGTTTTTGTTCGGCCTCTGGGGGAGTTTCTCGGGCGCCTGGGCGGTGCAAAGTGGATCCGGGATAAAAAGCTGCGCGAGATGGCCCCTGGGAGGGGTCCGGGGCCCAGTTTTGACCGGATTTGGCCTCGCTCTCCCCCTCCTGAATGATGTTCTGGGGCCCCAACCAGCTCAGACCCCCCCGCCGCCTCCAAGTTAACATATTGCGACAACGAAAATCGAGAACCGACACCGAATAGTGTTGCAGGTCAACAAGGCTTACTGGAACCACACTGGGCGGCCCAGGAAAGGGAGGGAGGGGATGGGAGAATGAGGGGGAGGAGGAGGAGGAGGAGGAGGAGGAGGAGGAGGAGGAGGAGGAGGATAAGGAGGAGGATAGGAGGAGGAGGAGGAGGAGGGAGGAGGGAGGAAGGAGGAAGGAGGAAGGAGGAAGGAGGAAGGAGGAAGGAGGAAGGAGGAAGGAGGAAGGAGGAGGAGGAGGAGGAGGAGGAGGAGGAGGATGATGAGCGAGAGGGAGGATGAGGTCTTAACCTTGCCGCCGTGCCCTTCTCGACGCCCTCGCGGGCGGTCCTTTTGCATGTTCTCTGCGCCCGCCCTCGCACCAGCGGGCATGCCCTGCGATCGGGCGTAGTTGATTTGTTTGCAACGGCCATCGCGCGAATGCGTGCGCAACGTAAGATGGACGAGTTGAAGTTCGACCCTGGAAGTCGAACCACATTATGATCACAAGTTTATGGCAGAAGCGCCCATCGGCATCAACCACGCCTGTGCGCTGGACGCCCCTTGGAATGCCTGTTGCGCGCCAAGCGCGCTCTTGCCCCACTGTTGCACCAGCGCGGCGCCACGCGCACTGCCTCTCCAGAAGTAGGTGGTGCTGCAGTGTCACGTCCAGCAACATCGCGACCTCCCACCGCCCAAGTGCTCTCCACGGCGCGAACCTGCCTGTACGTTTGGAAGTCCCGCGAGGAAACCGATGCGCCCAGGCGGGGGCAGACGAAGAACAGAACGCGATCCGCGCAGATTTCTCGGATCGACGATGGAACTCCCTCCCTGGCGCGCCTCTGGCGCCGGGGGCGGCGCCAGAGGCGCCGCGGGAAGTGCATTTCCAGCGCGGATCTGAGAAGACCGCGCGGACTTCCGACAACTTCTTCGAGCCCTCAGCTCTGGCGGGTATCAGTCGCAGCGGTGCTGGAGGCGGAC